TTGAATGCCAACAACAGTGAGAGAGGATAAAGGAGGTGATCAAACAAGACCAAATACAAATCTGCAGATGTGAACGGTTTTGGAATAGCTTCTCCACGCGGACCACCTTCTGGAATCATGCACACCTAGCAGTGACTAACTTTCTGATCAGGTAACCTGCGGAAAGGTATTGATTATCTTTTAAACGGCGTGATCAAGTTCCCAGGAGCAGTTAATTGCATCATGATTATTCTGAACTTGTTCGTAGAGTACCACCTGAACACCGGTAACATGCTTACTTGACAAGGGGTAAGGGAATTGCATTTGGGGACCCTGGTGAAAATGAAAACTGTTTCTCTCCTTTCATCATATCCTTTTCCCTAAAGCTAATGAAGGTTTTTGTTTGGATGCCAATTCGGTTATGCACCAGGCAGAACCCACCCACGTCACCCCAGGCGCAGGCTGGAGCCCCTCGGCTGGGCACAGCACGTCACCGTTCTCTGAAAAGCCAACGCGGCTGTAAGTGAAGAGCTGCTGCTGCAAACAAACCTGCTCATGAGACAAGTTACAAGACACAATAAAATTTGTCATGGACATGCTCCAAACAGTACAACCCAAAAGCCAAGCATTCTATTATTCAGAACTGCACACAAGCCAACGTGATCGCAGTTGTACCTAGAGTTTGTGATGCTGAACACTCGAGTCTCCATCAGGGGAACCATTTTCATCCCGTCTTTTCAAGAAGAACGGTCAATTGAGAGTTGACAGCTGTGTATTTTAACAGGCAAGTAAACAGCTAGACCCTGCTTTCTGCCATGCTACTGCATACAGTAAAGTGACAGTATGACCATAGGTACCATGAGATTACCAAAACACTGCACGTAATGAGCATGGGCTGCCGGGTTCTCATGACAACTGCCAGACTGGGGTAGGGGGAGAGCAGTGCGGTCCTTCGTATAAACGTATAAGCAATGAGGAAAAGACAGCAGTATAAAAATGGAATTTTTTTATGGATTAGCAAATGCTCTTCCAAACAAACGGGCCAGATACGTGAACATCTGAATGATTTTACAGCTTTTGTACTGCTTATTTTTAAGCTGCATTTTGCTTACTCTACAAGCTTTGTATTTTGTTAGTGATATGTAGAAAATCCAACCACTACTGCTAAGGTATTTCCGTATCGCTGGCACTCAGCTCACAAACCAGTATGGTTTCAGTACAAAATACAAAAACGTGCTGTATCCTAAAAGAAAAAAAAAAAAAAAAAAAAAGAAGAAAGGACCTGTTGCTACACTGACCAAGTCAAATAGAAAAAAAAAGAGACCATTCAGAGCTACAAAATAACACCTGTCAGTTAAAAAAAACCCTCAAGAAATATCATCCTTAACAGGATTTCCATTTTTTAGAATGACTTATTTGTACATGTATTGAATTGGCAACAGAGCCTTCCACCAGGTATAACTGAAGTTTCAGAAGCTCCCTCAGAAGTTGTTAAAATATCACATTAAAGAGACAAGGAACAGCAAGAAAACATCTAAGAAAAGCAGGCTGTGATACAACAAGCATTTGTTAAGAAAAAGCTCAGAAGTGCATTAGTTCTGGTGAGAGATATATGAGCAACAGCTCTTACGAGATGTAGACCCCATTCTGTAACTATGGGCTGTCCATATACTGTCATAGTCAGAGTCTTCTGAGAGGTCTGAAGGCTCCAAACGAGAAAGACTACTGCGACGACCCAAGGAGTCTAGACTTGATTGGTCATCATCAGCCAAGACGTGATTATGCATCAGGTCAGTGCCTTGCCATGCTAAGGATGTATAGGTGAAATGAAATGGTGGATGTGGATAGGCAGAGGTGGGATGAGGAGGAGAACGTAAGGAATAGCCACAACCAAACACATGAAATAAAAGCAAAAAGGTGATGGGAAGAGAAGGAAAAGAGAAAATATTGTTAAAAAGGCACCAAAGTTGTTTTTCTTTTTTTTTTTTTAAACTTGTTTGGGGTTTAGGTATAAATTACACTCATCATATAATAATGTTTGAACTGTACAATACAATTTTTGAAGTAGGTTTTTTTGGGGTGTTTTTTTTGTTGTTGTTGGTTGGGTTTTTTTTTTGGAAGAGGGAGTCAGGTTCTTTTGAAGCACAGAGTCAGTTCTGCTCTGGGTGGATTGGTTTTTTTTGGGTGTTTTTTTTGTTGTTGGTTGGTTTTTTTTTTGGAAGAGGGAGTCAGGTTCTTTTGAAGCACAGAGTCAGTTCTGCTCTGGGTGGATTTGACTGGGGACAGAGTAATAAATACAGTAAGCCAGCATGATCCAGCACTGATGTAAAAAGCAACAGCCCTTCCCCATCACACATCTGCACCTCCATCCTTTCCCTCCCTTGCAATGACACAGTCATTTGTACAGCTGCTTGGTGAGCCAGGTCAGGGAACAGTTTCAGATGAAAACTAATCCTACAAAAGATTCTTTTTTTTTCAAGCAGTCAATTTCCCCACCAGCTCACAACACAGCCACAGAAGTGCTTGTGTCACCACCGTAAAGAGGAAAATGCAGGGGGAAAAAAGCAAAGGTTCTCATGCAGAGCAGGGCTGCTGACTTCCTACACCAGCAGCAACGCCTTGCACCCACCGAAGGGGACTGTCAAAGTACGGCTTTTCTGTGCCTGTACCCCTTGGTATTTTTGTTTAACCACGTACTAAATTAACTCACAGAAAAAGAGGGCCAAGAGGCTAACAGCAACACAGCCTGGTCCATGCCAGCCCCTCCTACACGTCTCTATCTGAATCTGTCTTCCCAGTTAAATACTTTCAGATGTCCAGGGTAGTTGGACTGGCAATATCCAAGGACTGAAACCATGTAAGTGGCCATGCTATGAGCCACCATACACACGATATTGCAAGATTTTAAGCCTTCATTTGGAACAGAAATGCAAAATAAACTTGGGATATAAGAAGCAGAAACTGAAACTCTCGTCTTTCATTTGCATCTGTCTCTCCAAATTAAATCCCACATCTTCCCCACCCAAACAACTGAAAAAAGTTGCTCTGCTACCTCTAATGTCACTCCCTACCAGTTTGCACTGGTGCCAGAGCTCTGCTGAACTGACGTTGCCAAAAGCAGCACCCCTTGGGCTTTGGATTAGGTGCAGGTAGAACTGCCAAACGAGGGCTGCGAGGGACAGGCAGAATATTAACAGGGATGTAAGAAAGGAGTACGTAGAAGAAGGGCGTCCTTCACGGATGAAAGGCAGCTCTTTCACTCTGCTCTTCTACACTGACTACTGCTCCCATAGAAGCAATTCCAGTGTGACTCGTTTTTTGCCCATTTCCAATTCCAGTCTACAAACGGATCTTCTGAAACCTAAAGTCTTAGATGACAACACTACTCTTTCCAAACAAAGCAGCCGTGTGCTTAATCAATAAAAAAATTGTTTCTTGCCGCAATTAAGAGTAAATAAAAGCTGCTGACTTCTGATGTATGTAATGACACCCACAGCACTATGTATATTTTTAAATATACATAGAAAGAAAAAAATAGGCAAAAAAGCAAAAAAAAATCATATCCATTTTATATCGCACACACACACTATTGTGCAAGTGCAAATGTTTCCCAACCATTTCTTGTCACATTATTCTTGCAAATAATCAACAGATCACAGTCAAGACGTTTAAACAGCAATCATCTCATTTAATTTTGTTTGGAACAACAGTATATCTTCAGAATTTTTAACACATTCATTCTCTTTTATCCAATTAAACACAGTACTGTAATGACTGTAGGGCTACAAAATAGTTAGTATTAATAAAAAAATACGTAACAGTAGCTAATTTTATCACCTTGGAGACTTACTGTTGATCAAGACAGAGAAATTAAAATGCAGGTTTTTGCTGTTACTTCAAAAGTTTCTACTGTCAAACACAAGGGCCATATTCCCATTTTAAATTACACACAAAGTAGCTGCATTTTTTCAAGCTGACAATAGTAAGCGAACATGTATTAGGAAAATCCATGAACTAAGTTTGCAATTGCAATTTGAGATTTCTCAACTGTCAGCATAAAGTGCTTTTGCTTGGAAGAAAAACGGGCACAGAGCACTGTGGTAGCAGTACCAGTGATTAATACCACAAATTTAAACAGCTTTAGTGGACAGAGAGTAAAGTTATAACGTCCACTCTTCTCATTCCTGACAACAGCAAAACCAGCCAAGTACTTCAGGACCATTATACTGTGTTCCAAGGATCCCCAAATTAAATCGGTATTCAACAGTGCAAAAACTGAGCAAATCAGAACAAACGCATCAGCATTTTCTCCTTCCTCGTGTCAATGGAACACATGCTGGTGGACTCCCCTGCTTGCGCAATGTTTTACTTACAATACAGAGGAACTCCACAAGGCAACCTTGATTTGGATTAAATGAAGTAGGACCCCAGAGGCACGTTACAGGTTTTCAATAAGCTAGGTATTGATCTGAGAAACTCAAAATGGCTTTAAGCAACACACAGATCTGAGAACAATTTCTCCTGAAATTATGAGATGGGATTAAAATTCGTAATTAATACTATAAACAACTAGTGGCAATAAAAGAAATTTTTATGGGTCTAGGTTATTTCTCCATAGCAGAAGTATTTGTTGAACAGAACAAGACAAAAATACACTCCTATAAAATTACTATTTCTTCTTCATTCCTCCTCTCTACTTACCAGCATCGAAAAGCATACTGATTAACTGTCATATTCAGTTCAGACACCTCTCATTCATTGGTGAAGGTTTTGTGCAATTTTGAACCATGCCAAGTTTTTTCAGGTTTTTTTTTTAAACACTGAAAGAATTATAGTCTCTAATCACGGTGCTTGGCATCCAATACTTATAAACACTCGGCACTGATATTAAGCCAGAAACAGGTTATTATTTCCTCCAGGTCCAGCTTGCTACTTGCAAAGGCCTGAAAACATACACCTCTCTTTTTTGCAAACTATCTAATTTGTGGTTTAGTTAGCTATTTTGGTACTTTCTAACTTACTTGAATTTAGTGTTTGACGTGTTTTGGCACTTGTGCAATATGCTTCAATGACTTTAAGAATTTGAGCATCTTCTTCTAAAGCAGCTGTACCTAGAATCAAGGGAAAAACAGAATTTTAAACATGGTTAAGTTTCTTAATAACGAAAAGCCTTTGTAAATTGCTACTTCTCAGTTGAGTTCAAAGTTCAGCCTAATCAACCCTTGAAAATTCTCTTAAACATCCCATTTTAAAAAACAAACTTCAATGAGCAAAAGTAACAGTTTAAAAAGACAAAATACTATTTTCACATGCCTGGAAAAAAACCCAAGTGAGAGTAATTACACACACATCCAAGAAATTTTCTGAGCATGTGAAGCTGCACAGAACACGTTTGGAAGTGTCATCACTCTGGTTCTAAATGAACCAACCAGTAAACTGAAAAAAACTGTATACTCCAGTTATTATATACATATTATTTCATTATTTAGTCAAAGAAATCAAAGAACAGAATATTAATTCGCAGAAAAGAAACCTTGAAAACTTTTGGGGTTTGTACATATATCAGATTTGCCCCTTTCAACATCACACTATTGAAAATTAAACTCAGAATTAACAGCATAATAAATAAGATGGTACAATTTCAGTTCAGTGTGCAGAAGGAAAGATGTCACTATCACATAAGGGTAGCTGTGGAAAGTGGAGTAATTAAACTTCTCAGACTTCAAACCAGAAACAGCACTACTGAAAAAAATCTAACTATTTAAGCTTAAGATGGCAACATTTTCTTAAAGGTAGAGCTCCACAGCAGATCTCCTTGGGGAATGCAGTAAAAATGCTGTCAAACTGTTCACTTGCAACAGAGTGAAATTCCAATCAAACTGAAATCTAGAGGTACTTCTACCATAGTTTAGATGGAACCAGGAGTCTATGTGTAGACCAAGATGATCTGGGTTTTTTTAAAAGCATTTTTCCTGTTTTCCTCTTCGAAAAAACTAGGCTGGAAGATTTTCTGCTGCTTGAATCCAAATCGCCTTCAACATCAAAATGTAGTAGAGTGTTCTCTGTCAGCCGAAGCACCCTGTTAGTTTTTGTCATTTATTATCACCAGAACAACGCCACCTGTCCAAACATTTGTCAGGATGAGCTGACAAGCTAACTGTTGAAGAAATTATCTTGACCTGATATAAATTCCTACCATTTAAAAGACACAGGTACTCCAAAGTACAGGTTATTTCTCTTTCAAGGTAGGAAAAATAATTGGATTTCATTGTGGTTAGAAAGCGGCACTGTATTATTACAGTAGCAGGACAAATACTTCACTTCTGAAATGAGTATTGTGAGGGCACTCAGTTGAAATACCTTACTTATTTTGGTTTGTTTGTAGTAATGTCAATTTAACATTGCAGTTCTCAAAACATAGCCCATAAATCCCTGGGATTCCAGAGAAGAGAAGTAATAAAACCCAAACCTATCTATTATTAAGCCTTAAGTTCTATTGAACTTCCTCAGTGGAAAACTTTTACAAGTCCACAAGCTGGAAAAGGTTGAAGGAGCACTAACAAGTCAGAGAAGCTTCCAATTACTGACCCAAGGAGGGGAAGGGTGGCGGAGAGAGATGAATACCAAGAATCAGTAAATATTTCTGTAACACACTGACTTAAAGCCACCAAAAATCCCTTTTATTGAAAGTTATCTCCTACAAACAAAATACTGAAAGGTGTTAATTGCATCAGGAGTAGAACATTGTATTTGCAAGCTATAGACCCCCTCCCTTCCCCCCAAAAAAGAACTCTTATCTTCTCTAAGTGTTTTCCAGTAATTCCTAGATCTGCAAGGTGACAGCTCTACCGCTGTCAGTACAACCACTGAATCCTCCAACATCTGAAATGATGCTGTATTGCAGTACTTCCATTTTTCCTGAACAGACACCTGCCTGTCAGGATAAAACATCCTGAACTAAAACGTCCACTCGCGCATCCATGAACGCAGGATGGTTCCATTCACTACCTTAACCTCTGCCAAACGACATTCCCAGCACACTCAGAAGGATCTCCACCTTAGACAAACCAATAGCGCTCCGAGGCAACGCTTTTTCTCTCCAACCCTACATAAACCAGTGAGAGACAGTGTTCACGATAACACGCTTCAATGCACTGAACGCTCAAGGCACAGTCTCTATCTTAAAAAGCCCATGAGCAAAGGACAGACACAGAGAAGCAAAAATTGCAGTAAAAGAATCTGGCCTTCAGCTTAAATACTCTGTCTTCTATTGCTACCTGGTCTTCAGCTTAAATACCCTGTCTGTTATTGATACAAGTAATTGGATTATTCATTCACACAGATTTCTAAGGAAGACTTAGAGTGACACTGACAACTAAGTGAATATTATGGTTGCTTGATAGCATTAATGTTCCCTCCATCCCAGATTAACCCAACATCCAGATTTTGACCCTTCTGTTTTTCTACACATTCATCAGACTCTCTCAGTTCAGTGTTGTTCTTCAGACTTCAAGCAGTCTAAAGCTCGGCAATTTATTTGGACACAGACTCGAGCAAATGACTATTTCTAGGAGATGAGAGCAGGCTGTTGGATCTTAAGAGTGACCATGGAAGCAACTAGTCTTTGAACCAGCAGCAACACCCAGCTCCCCAACACCCAGCTCCCCAACACCCAGCTCCGCAGAAGCTCCCACCAGGGACAATTTAAGAACACAGCTACTAAGTGTTCTGCAAGAGTGGGACAGTACCTTCAAAATTGCTGTTTCCAGTGTTAAAAGACAGGTTTACCTTACTGAACTTTACAGGGCTCTACAGTCAGGCTCCCCCCTCTCTAGCCAGGAGATAGCAACAGGCCCTTCACAAGCACACATCCACGTAGTCAACAGTAAAGCTCAGGAAAGCAACTAATGCCACCGTGACATAAGCACCTAAGATGACTAAAACAAAGCATCCTCTGGAGACAGCCACCCCCTCTCCCAACAGGGGAGAGGAAACCAGATAACTTGCTTAAGCTGTACATCTAACTTTCACAGAATTTAAACCGATGTTAACTCCATCCTTTGTATTAAGCAGACATTTGTTCAAGTCCCTCTTACTTTTTCTCAGTGCAAACTCTTCATCTGATGGCTTCCGTTCTGGCTTGCGTTTGGGAAGCAGCTTTTTCATGGTTTTAGGGCTTTTACTGAGATCCTGTGTGGAGAAAATAAAAATAAGAAGAGTAGAGCTTCTCTACAATATTTCAAAAGGTTAACTTCTAAGATGCATACATGAGTTGCTAACTAAAAATATTAACAGCACCAAAATTCAGTTTACTGCTATTTTTTGGCATATCCTATTTGCCTGAACTGGCTGATTTCCTCTCTACCCTTCCTCCAACTATACACAAAGTCAGATATTTTATCTGTTCTATTAACAGAGATATACAGAAAAGCTGCTGCAAAAGCATGCAGGCAGTTTGGGAGCTAGAGCGAAGGGAAGAGGCAGGCATACATCAACACAGTTTTTTTCCTAAACTTTTGAAGAGACAACCATTTCACTTGCCTACTTAGAAGCAGGTAAAAAAGGACCTAACAAGGAAGCTTGGCAGGTAGTACGCTCTTCAAAGCCAGAATTTGTAAATGTTTAGGTCTGTTCTTACAAAGCTCTAGAGGAAAAAAAAAAACAAAACAAAACACAACAAAAAACCCCAAACCAAAACAGCAACAAATACAGCATTTCTGCTCAAAATGTGGTCATGCTAATTTACAGGAACAATGCTGGGTTATAGGAACAAAAAGGAATACACTGGTCTACCCCTTACCTTAAGGATACAAGACATTCTCTATAAAAATACAGAACAAGAAAGTAAAAAGGTGAATGAGTAGGACAGACCAAAGACGATGAAGATAGGTTTTGAACATCATTGTATGCTGCACACCGTAAAGATGATTGAACTTATACCACATTGGAGAATTTAGTGCC